GTTCCGCATTTTTATATGATATAAACTACCAGTTCGAGTTTGGAATATTTAAAACAGACGTTTTTTTATTCTTCAATACTGTAATTTGTATCAATATAAACACGCGCTAATTACTGAAAGTGTCGAATACCTCAAATTATGCAAATTGGTTGTAATTTACGTTTAATCATAGTCTGCAAATGTGTTAATCGCGTTAAAATTATTATATATATGTCGAAATATATATACAGAAACATTCTAAAACGTTTAACTTAAATATTAAGTAACTCAGATTTTTTTTTATTTACTATAAAATTTGCGTCAAAATTTATTTACATTTCGATAAAAATCGTAACATGTTTACTTTTTAAAGTTCACGGACCGATATCCCAATATATATTACCTTCAAAATTCTCCACAAGTTCTGAGTAAAAGCATATAAGTACTTTCGACAATATTGAATATTCAAAAATGCATAAAATGGGAGTATTTTGAAAGGAAATAGACGAACCGCAAGTGCTGTATGTAGACTGCCCTATGTTTCTGCACACTTTCTTATAGAGTAAAATAGACAACCCAGGATTAATTAGTGAAAATCAGTTTATAGAGCTTTTGAAGAGAAATTTAACGATGCAAACCACTTCTTCCTAGTTTAAACGAGTCAAATTATTTAACAAAATCACTTGTTTCTGTTAAAATTCCCCCAAATTTGATCTGAAAATCCAATTTTCTAACCTTACAGATAATTTGGCGGTGATATTTTAAAAACCATTTTGTAGAGCTTTTAAAGAGGAATTTAATGATGCAAACGACTTCTTTATAGTTGAAACGATAGTCAAGTTATTTAATAAAAACATTTTTGTCTTAAAATTCACTCTGAAAATCCTATTATCTTGCTGAATGTTGACGTGTGTCTAATTTTACTCTATAAAAAAACTGTGGTTTGCCAAAATTCAACCACATAGTGGATCCATCAATTTCCACACTTAAATGAAAAAAAAAAAACATTACACTACGGAAAAGGGATATTAATCAACTGGAGCTATTCTGACTCAAAATATAACTGCTGAACTAAACATGACTATAAGGTATTTTTCGAGGCATAAACCATATAGACGTCTAAATCTATATACAGGGTAGTTGTTAAAGATGGAACCAAACCTATAGTGCTTAAACGGTTCAACATACAAAACCCAAAATTTCAGAATTTCAACTAAATATATTTGCGCATATTTTATCCCAAAAATTATTTGTTTTATAATTACAAAATTTTTAGCATGACCGCCATCTTAATTTTTTTAAATAGCAATATAGGTCATGTGATGTACCATTTGAAAGGGTTTAACACCCTGATTACAAAAATGTATCACACATGGGGTCTAAACACAACAGAAAGGATATGCACAGCCTCCTACGCTCCCTATTAATAATATCCTTTCTGTTGTGTTTAGACCCCATGAGTGATACATTTTTGTAATCAGGCTGTTAAACCCTTTTAAATGGTATATCACATTACCTATGCTGCTATTTAAAAAAATCAAGATGGCGGCCAAGCTTAAAATTTTGTAATTATAAAAAAAAAATTTGGGCTAAAATATGCCCAAATATATTTAGTTGAAATTCTGAAATTTTGGGTTTTGTATGTTGAACCGTTTAAGCACTATAGGTTTGGTTCCATCTTTAACAGCTACCCTGTATATAAAATTGTTTGTCCTGACTGACTGACTGACCAATCAGCCAAAACTACTAAGCCTAGAAAACTGAAATTTGGAACATAGGTTTATTTTATAACGTAAGCATCCGCTAAGAAAGGATTTTTGAAAATTTTAACTTTAAAGGGGGGAAATGGGGGGGAGGGAGCTTTTAATAAAACTCTTTGTTCTTTAAAGTTAGAAACATGAAAATTGAAATTACAGCTACTAAGCAAAAATAAATAATGACGTGTTTCGGGTTTTTGGATTTTTACATTTTAAGGGGGGAAAACGGGGGATGAAAGTGTGTATAGGACTATCGATTTTTTTTTGTTTTCTATGAAGTTAGAAACATGAAAATTGGAATTGCAGTTACTGACTACAAATTATTAATGACGTGTTTCAGGGTTTTAGGATTTTCACATTTTAAGGGGGGAAATAAGGGGTGAAAATTTATTTGGGAGTATCCATGTTTTTGGTTCTCTTTAAAGTTAAAAATATGAAAATTGGAATTGCAGCTACTGAGTACAAATTAATAATAATGTGTTTTAGGGTTTCTATATTTTTACATCTTGAGGGGCCAAACGGGGGGGTGAAAGTTTGTATGGGAGTATATATTTTTTTATTCTCTTTGAAGTTAGAAACATGAAAATTGGAATTGCAGCAAATGAGTACATATTAATAATGACGTGTTTTAGGGTTTTTGGATTTTCACATTTTAAGGGGGAGAAACAAGGGGGGGGGGGTGAAAGTTTATTTGGAAGAATTGATTTTTTCTAAAGGTAGGAACTTGAAAATTGGAATTGTAGGTTCTCATCATAAATAAATAATGAAGTGTTTCAGGGTTTTTGTATTTCTACATTTTAAGGGGGGAAATGGGGGGGTGAAAATTTGTTTAATAGTATGTATATATTTTTGAAGATTGAAACATAAAAATTTGAATTACAGCTACTGACTAAAAATCAAAAATGATGTGTTTCATGGTTTTTGGAACACAGGGGTGAAAATATGTATAGAAGTATAAATTTTTTGAGAGTTGGAACTTGAAAATTAAAATTGTAGTATAAGTAATGGCGTGCTCTATGGTTTTTAGATTTTTGTATCATAAAAGTAAATTAAAATTAAAAAAAAAATTATTAAAAATTAATAAAAAATTAATAAAATTGAATAAAAATTAATAAAAATTATTATTTTTTTTTAACTAAGTTAGTGGTACTGGATATAAACCAACAGGCCAGTCAATTGTCAGGTGAACAAATAAAAATATCATATAAATATCATATAAAAATTATTAAAAATTCATAAAACTGAATAAAAATTATTAAAAATTATTAAAAATTAATAAAAAATTAATAAAACTAAATAAAAATTAATAATTTTTTTTTTTTAACTAAGTTAGTGGCACTGGAGATAAACCAACATGCCAGTCAATTAATTGTCAGGTGAACAAATAAAAATATCATATAAATATCATATAAAAATTTAAAATTCATAAAACTGAATAAAACTGAATAAAAATTAATAAAAATTAACAAAAAATTAATAAACATTAATACAAATTAATAAAAATTAATAAAAATTAATATAGAAGTTAAATAAAAATTAATAAACAATAAAAATGAAGAAATATAAAACTAATAAAAATTAATAAAAAAAGAAGTCATGCATTTTTACTTTCCTAACTATATATAAGGAGAGTATAGGAATCATGATTTTTTTCGACCTCGAGTTTTCGACGGATTTTTACGTTTTGAGGTCCCCTGAATCCGTTTTGACTATTTTCGTGATGATGTCTGTGTGTGTGTCTGTATTCACCATAACTCATGAACCGATACACAGAAAAACACCAAATTTTAAACTTAAGCTTTATTCCAGCGTCCAATGAATTGATTAGATTTTGGGCAGAGTCGGAACATCCGGGGGGGTACTTTATAGGTGGTTATTTTTATATTTTAAGGAATATATCTGTTATTTACGTTTGAAGAAAAAAATTCTTCAAATAAAAGATACTTCTAATATTATTATCTATAATTATTGTTCTATACAAAATTTTCCTAAAATGGTCCGTATTCGAGAAATTTAACAAAATCTAAAAAAAAATAATTTTTTATAAAAATTGTTCAAATAAAAGTTGTTTGTAATATAATTCTCTATAATTTTTATCCTATACATAATTTCTCTAAAATTGACCGTATTCGAGATATTTGAGAAAATGTGTAAATCTAGAATTTTGAAGAAAACTCAAAAACGGATAAGGAAAAAACATTAAATGATTAGATATTGGACAAAGTCGGAACATCTGGGGGGTACTTTATGGGAGACCGTTTTTATATTTTATGGAATATATCTGTTATTTATGTTTGGAGAAGAAAATTGTTCAAATAAAAGTTACTTCTAATATTATTATCTATAATTTTTGCTTTATGTCAAGATTTCCTGAAATGGTCCGTATTCGAGAAATTTGACAAAATGTGCAATATTCTGATTTTTTTAAAAATTGTTGAACTAAAGTTGTTTGCGATATCGATCTCTATAATTTTTGTTTTTACATGATTTTTCTAAAATGGACCGTAATGAAAAAATTGTAGGAAAAGCGCTAAATTTAAATTTTTCAGTATTTTCGTTTTCAATGAATATCTATAGAAAAATGTTTCGAGGTAGATGTATGTGGAAAATGTATATATTTAGTTTATCCTCTAAACATTTATAGAGATGCTACAATAGGTTATACAAAATAACTGGAAGAAGCCTATAATAACTAGATAGGAAAGTCATGTGTTGGACACATCAGATTTTTTATATTAATAACACGACTACATGCTAGCAAAGTCGCGGGCAACAGCTAGTCTATTATAATAGTATATTATGCGCCAAGGTAGAGAAGTGAGTTATTTTGTCTCGGATCCATTAAAGACCTCGAAGCTTTCTCTACCGTGGCTCATATACTATTTTTTTCACTACTAGCATTTTAATTAAAAAAAAAAAAAAAATTAAGTTTATAAAACTAATAAAAACGATTTCAAACTTTTTTCAAATCAAATCATCCATGCTTGTGACAATTAAATGTAAAACACAAACGTCAGTTTAGTACTGTCAAAATATGAACTAATATCATTTACATAAAATACAGTATGTATATAGTTATCAGGTAGGCTCTGTAATTCTCTCCCTAGGTTAATAATGAACCACTTTTCTACCTGAAAATCAGTCAATAAAGTTAGCTTCTAAAGCTAGTAGTGAAAAAACGTTCATGTTGGTTTATGGCGCTTTATTCATATAACTGTAGACAAATCACATAAGAATTGTAAATAAAAATCCAAAGACACTTACCGGAATCAGAAGGCGTATCAATTCCAAAATTGGCTATCTGCATTGCACAGCTCTTGCCCTTGTGGTAGCTGTGGTCACTTTCCGCAGCGAATTGATAAGAGTTGATATTGGGTTTGACAACTTCAATCACCGGTTCGATAATTTCTTGTTTAATTTCGTTCTCTTCGAAGTACTCGCACAAATCGCTGTCGTCGTCTATATCGCATTCTTCAATAGTCTCAGCCTCGTGAAATAATTTAAGCACGCTGATGGTTTTCGTCCTGGATTCTTCATCATCAGACATCGGCGGCGTTTGTGGCATAGCGGCAGCCCTAACCGCCGGTTTAAGAAGGCTCTGCTGACCTGTTGAATATCCCATGATTTCTTGTTTCATTTCCGTCAGAGATATATGTCTAGAGATGAGGTCGGGTGGTCTAGGCCCCATACAACTCGTTTGGGATCTGGGTTCATCTGTAGGATGTTCTTTGCTGGCGCAATGCCCAGCCCACATGCAGTCATGATTGCGGATTTCGCTGCCTGCTTTCAACAACTTGTCTAACTTGTCTGCCGCCAACACAGCTTCAGTAAATATATCGCTGATACCAACCAATTCCGGGAAATCTAATTCGAATTTTTGCCATATATCATCTGGGAGTAGAATATTATTTCCCGACCAGTTAAGCACCTCGTTATTCAAATAATCGATTAGACTCATCGTGCGCTCCGATTTAACAGGCATTATATTGTTTTAGAATCCTTAATTTTTATCGTCTCTGTATGTATAACACTTAATCCTAATATCACAAATGGGCCCTTGGCTGTAGACAGCACGCGCGGCAGCTGCTGAAACAAGAATGTATATTAGGTCAGTGGTAACCAACTGTCTAAAAAAAAATATGCGTCTCATAAAAAAAGGGTAGATTTTTAAAGTGGTTATAAATTAAATCTTATTCTAATTCAATTATTAGAGTTAGGGGATGATACTATTTCGTCACTAATGACTGAAATTTAGATAGTATTATTCCGGTCAAGATATCAGAGAATGGTTATCAATAGCTTAAAAATAAGTAAGTACTTCTTTAAACTGGAAATAAATTATTCACTTCCGCATTAAAGATAATATCTAATTGTCAATACAAAATGAAAAATGCCTCGTAATAATTTATATTTTTCAAAGGAAAAATCTATAATTCTCAGAAAAAGTAGGTAAAAGGGGTAAAATAACAATAAATTATCCAAGGGTCCCAGGTTCGAATCCCACCGTTAGCAGGGATTTTTTCATTTAATTTAATTAAATTATTTAAAATTAATTGTGATGCCTTGGTAGGATTCCCCACTCGACCATTCACTGTTGGGTACTAATTAACAGTGCTGTTCCTAAAGTGGCACTGGGAAACAGTAACAAAGCCTGCACAGAACACGATGCTAATAACCGTAGCAGTTGAATGCCAAAGAAGGCAGCAAAGCACCTCGGGAATTTTGAGTTGAAACATATGCCACATTTTTAGGCTATTTTAAGGCTATTTTTATGCCCTATTCAAAAAATTTATGCTCCTCGTTTTTTGCAAAAATCAATGTGCTCTGCTAGCTTCGAACGAAGTCAGCAGGGCACCTCAGTTTTTTAAAGCTTTTTTCCAAAACCAACGACACCATATTTTTAGGCTATTTTTAGGCTCCTAAAATATTATAAAAAATTTTACCAAAAAATTGCTATTTTAAAATAATACAGGGTGCTTTATTGGAGCAAAGGGTGCTTTGCTAGCTTCGAACAAATCCAGCAGAACACCTCGGTTTTTTAAAGCTTTTTTCTAAAAATAACTACACCACATTTTTAGGCTATTTTAAGGCTTTTGAAATATTATAAAACTTTTCGAAAAATGTTTTTATTTTTAAAAAATACAGGGTGCTTTCTAGCTTCGAACGAATCCAGCAGAGCACCTCGGTTTTTTAAAGGTTTTTTTCTAAAAACAACTACACCACATTTTTAGGCTATTTTTAGGCTCCTAAAATATTATAAAAATTTTACCAGAAAATTGCCATTTTAAAATAATACAGGGTGCTATATTGGAGCAAAGGGTGCTTTGATAGCTTCGAACGAATCCAACAGAGCACCTCGGTTTTTTAAAGCTTTTTTCTAAAAACAACTACACCACATTTTTAGGCTATTTTTACGCTCTTGAAATAATATAAATTATTCAAAAAAAGGGGTTTCTTTTATTTATTTTCTTTTCGCATTCATGAACATATTTATGACATAACCAGTTACATAATGTTCAACTTTATGTAACTCAAAGTAGATAGATCATTTGGACACTCGCTGCGATTACAAAAATGTCACTTTGTAAGTCAAATTAAAAGAAAATTTGTATTAAATACTTATTAAGATTGTAAAAACCCCTTAATTAACAAACATTTTAATTTCTCCGATTAATTATATCAATGTGGAAAAAATAATCGAAATCAATGATGAACAATATACAAATAAGTTGTTTTAGCTGGGATTGATTGATTCAAAATTGGTGTAAATACCAATTACAAGGTAGTGTCCGTGTCAAAAATAAAGGTTGAGCAAAATCATATTTTTCCAACAAAGCTTCTTGTATTATTTAGAAATGAAATTTTTTTTAGTAAATTTTATAATATTTCAAGAGTCTAAAAATAGCCTAAAAATGTGGTGTAGCTGTTTTTAGAAAAAAGTTTTAAAAACCGAGGTGCTCTGCTGAATTCGATCGAAGCTAGCAAAGCACCCTCTGTATTCTTTAAAAAATAGATTATTTTTTTAAAAGTTGTATATTGTTTTGAGAGCCTAAAAATAGCCTAAAAATATGGTGTTGTTGGTTTTGGAAAAAAGCTTTAAAAAACCGAGGAGCTCTGCTGAATTCGTTCGAAGCTAGCAGAGCACCTTGATTTTTGCAAAAAACGAGGAGCATAAAATTTTTGAATAGGGTATAAAAATAGCCTTAAAATAGCCTAAAAATGTGGCATATGTTTCAACTCAAAATTCGCGAGGTGCTTTGCTGCCTTCTTTGGCATAATAAACGAGTGTGTTTTTAGTTTAACTAAATCTTGCACAAATTCCTAAAGAAAATCTTCAGTAGGTTTAATAATCGTTTCCACGGTAGTTACAGCGATCCACAGAAACTCACTTCTTGTATGTAACATTATCAATAAAACATTTATAAAACCATTTTCGATTTTTCATCCCACCTATATAATCAGTGTACCAAATTTTATCAAAATTGGCGAGATGGTCTGTCAAACCTCTCCTCTGGTTGATTTGATATAAAACAACTTTAATTTTTGCAATAAATCGAAAAACATTTAATATTTCCGAAAGAGTTAGGTATAGGAATTTTCTAAAGAATCCAAAAAATGAAAAATATACAGGGTGTAGCATTTAAAAGAAGAAAGTTGGTATTGGCCACTGTTATATGACACACCGTTATAAAAAGTTTTTGTTAAAAAAATGCGCAACTAAAAATACTAATCGACGTGTTCGAGCATTGTTCCAAACACGCCCTCATTTATTTATTACCGAATTTATTCCATTTAGCTGTGCAATTTTTTAACAACGCACTCCATTTAAACATTTTCTTTATTTTTGTTCTTCAATGTCTATTCTTAAAAAATATTTGAAGTAAATACTAGATTGGCACGCCAATTTAGAACGCCCTGTACATGTTATGCAACAAAACAGCTGGTATTCGTTTGTATCACCCAAAAAAACTTACTTTCTCAAAATTTGGGTATATTTACTCAAAAATATTTGAATTATCGTAAAAATATTGAAAAAAAAAAAAAATAATTTTTTCTCACCTTGTAACTTTTTAAGCAAGCAAAATTCTACTGAGGTAAATTGGCTGAAATGAATTTATTTTTGTCCAAACAACCACATCTGAAGTTTGGACTATTCTATAATTAAGATTCTTATTACATTTCAACCTTAATTTATTATAACTTATTTAGTCTAATCAACAAGTTCAAAAGCGTGTTTTTGGGACATACTATTACGAAAATTATGTTCAATAGCTCATTCGATTCGTAATAATGTCTAGATCAATGTGTAAAGAAAAATTTTGCAGTGCATAAAAAAATTGCAAAAGTTATAAACAATTAAACACCTCAAAAACATGGTGTTTGGTTTTTCGCCTATAGTTTGTAAACTATAAATATTTTTGGATTTTTCAAAAAGATCCTTAAAAAGGAGGAAATTTGCTATAAATAAGTTCCGACTCCCGGAACTGTACCTCCATTATTTATAATTTTAATTTAACGCTCAAAGTAGCCTTCCGCGCGCCATTTTTAGATTGCGCGCACGGCGTCGAAACCGAGTACGTTACATAAAATAATTTTTTTAAGTTAATAAAATTAAATTCAAAAATTTTAGAAAATTACGGTGTATTTTAAACACTTAGAAGAATTCATTCCCATTTTCATAAAAATTAATTTTCCAACAAAGTAGGTTATTGTTAATTAACCAAATTTTTAGAATTTTTCTCATCATTACAAATTGATAAAAATATTAAATAATTACCGTAAATTTTTTTTGCTTCGTGGAGCACTTTTTATATACATATAAAACAAAATAGCTTCATAAAAGTTTAAAAAATGTTAATACTTTGTTTATAATAATTTTTTAAAGTTTACAAAACAGAAAAGTCGCAGTGATGCTGTAAAAATTTTTTTTTCAATTTATTATAATATTACTGTTTTAATGTCGAGAAAAGACATTTATTAATTAAAAAAAAATGTTTTCCTCCATTTGTTTATAAATTTTTTATAAACAAATGGAGTATTTCAATTTTTTTCAAATTTATTTTTTTACATCTTTCTAGACAATTGCCAATTATGATTTTTTAAAATTTTTTTTTTAATAATAACTTTTAATTGTTTATAATCGTTTTTTAATATATCTATTGTTTAAATTATTAAGAAATGTTTTTTTTTTAAATCATAATTGACAGTCCTCTACAAAGTGACAGCAAAAAATTTTTTTTTATTAATAATTCCATTGTTTATTAAGTTAACAATTTGTTATAAACAAATTCCCAACTTTGGTTTATTTTTTCCTGAAAGAAATAAAAATTACGGAAAAAATTTTATTCCATTTTTTTTATTAAACTTAAAAAAAAAACAATTTTTATAAACAAATATAAAAAAACAACAAATTGACAATAGGTACGGAATTGACAAATGACTTATCTGAGAGATAATTTCATTGCCTACAAAAATGACTTGAATGTTTATTGTCGTATCTCCAATAGTTTAAAAGTTATATCAACTTTTAAGTCAACAAATGGATCAGCTACTGCAACTTTGATAGTACGTATATTTTCAAAGTTTAATAAAAATGGAATAAAATTTTTTCCGTAATTTTAATGCACTAAGTCGTTTTTTAAATTTTTATTTCTTTCAGGAAAAAAATAAACCAAAGTTGGGAATTTGTTTATAACAAATTGTTAACTTAATAAACAATGGAATTATTAATAATTTTTTTTGCTGTCACTTTGTAGAGGACTGTCAATTATGATTTAAAAAAAAACACATTTCTTAACTAATAATTTAAACAATAGATATATTAAAAAAAAAAAACAATTAAAAGTTATTATTAAGAAAATTTTTTTTTAAAATCGTAATTGGCAATTGTCTAGAAAGTTGTAAAAAAAAAATTGAAAAAATTGAAATACTCCATTTGTTTAAAAAAAAAATTTTTAAATTAATAAATGTCTTTTCTCGACA